GAGAGAAGAGAAAGCAGACATTCATCCCATCGGAGTCCTGTAGCTCAGTGGTTAGAGCACTCGCTTTGCAAGTGAGAGACCTGAGTTCATTTCCAGGCAGAGGGCGAAACCTTGGGCAAGTTTCCTTACTCCACACAGAGCCTAATAATAATTCCTCCAAAAAAACAAAACCAATAATAAATTGGTCATTTTCAATCTACGACTGTTTGTGGGACATTGCTGTGCGCAATTGGCTGCCGCGTTCGCCCACAAATATACAGTCAATTCACTTTACAGTGTGTTCTGTGAAGCGCTTTGGGACGTCCTCCCGACGTGAAAAGCGCTATATCAAATGCAAGGATTATTATTATTATTATTATTATCGTGCCTGTGCTGGTACCAAATCTTCACTTTATATATTGTTGCGCATTTTAGTATTTAACTCAGGACTTTGTAAATGTATCCACATCGTATAAATTACAGTTTATTCCGTGAAGCAATTTGCGGCATTCCTGACGCGAAAGGCACGGTATCAAATGCAATACATTTTGATTTCCTTTTTTAAAAAAATATAGGAGTTTAATAAGTTAGCGCACAGGACTCGGGAATATCAATCTCCACAGAAGCACCCTTCCCACAGGTACAGAAAATAATCTGTATTTATTTACACACTGCCGTCTCTATCGTTCCAGCTTGCAGTTAAAGGCGAAACCTGGATGCATCCCAAGATGAACCTTGTCTGATGTGTTTAGTTGCTGTTTGGACCTGCTGTGAAATAAACCCAGAAGCCGGGTGGTGGACATGTTTCCTGTGATATGCCAAACTAATCCGCAATGCAAACAGTCTGCCTGGAAACTTCACCTCTGTGAACAGTCACCTTTCGCAACGCGAGTCCTGTCGAGTCAACAGAAGTCGGGGGGGTGGAGGGTGGGTGTTGTGGGGGGGTGTTAGCTTCGCTGCTTGGGTGGGAGTAAAGCTCAGAGTGGACCATGATGATATTTCCATGGCAGATGTTCGGCGATGTGGAGGGAAGGGAAAGAACTGGCCACGGCCTGATAGCATGACATAAACCCAGCACCGCCAAGTCCGAGGCAGCGTGTTTAGTTGACTGCTTGCTGATCGATGCAAATTGCAGCATTATTTTTTGTTGCCGCCGTTGCAACGCAGTTGAAAGCGGTAGCGTAAAAGCATACGAGAACTGAACAGATTGATTCAAAATTAAGCAATAAAATGTGAGGACTTGCTCCACCAACTGTTTATTTGTGGGACTCGCTCTGTGTGTGTGTGTGTGTGTATGTGTGTATGTGTGTGTTGTGTGTCTTAGTCTCTGTTCCTTTCTCCTACTCCTTTCTCCGAGCTACCACAATGCAAGCATTTGTGTGATTCGAAATGCAAGTAAGGTCAGATATGCAGATTACTTCAGTGGTATACGCATCTATCTACCTATGTAATATACGGCGTGTATTTATACACTACGGTTCGGTTGTCAGAAAAAGAGAGATGACAGGAATAGAAACCGACAAGCAACACTGAAATATTTGCATTCCACACTTCCTTCCACTCTGATCTGTTCCAGCCATCTCAATTAACATCCGATTATCTGTTCGCAAGCCAGGGAGAAAGGCAGACAAGTGCGTGTTTTTTTGCAGATTCGAATGAGGGATTGCGTCACAGGAAGCTGAATTAAAACGCTTGGGCAACACGTAGAAATGGTCTTAACTGTTCTCCTTTTTTTAAAAAAAAAATGACTAATTTGCTATTATTTAGATGCAAGCGTGTTATGCCGGCAGTTAACTTGTTCCCAGGATTTCTGCTGAGGAAGTGAACCAGAATTGTTTTCCCCCTCCTCCTGTGGTGTTCCAACAACTACCTCTCTCTCTCTCTCTCCCCCCACCCCATTCCCCACAAACACGCACACTCATTCACTCCTCGTATGATGGCTTGACTGAGATCAGAGGACTTCACTGTTGGACAAACTGGTGACTGCAGACAATAACAACAACAGCACCGCCAACACCGCCACCACCACCACCACCAACCACAACAAATGTCGTTTACATACCTTTCACATTAGGAGGAAGTCCCAAGGCCTTGGACAGTGAGGGATCTGGATCCGAGCTGGGGTTTGGGATCAGGAGGGGCGGAGGGCAGAGAGAGGGTGGGTGTAGGAGGGTGACAGGAGGCACGGTCGAAGAGGAGGGTCTTGAGACGGGCCTTAAAGGAGGCAAGGGGCGAGGCGAAGGGAGCGTGCGATGGAGGCCCAAAGGGTTCGTGCCAATGCTCCAACCGCTCCGTGTGTCTGAACCTCTGAGCGTTCCATTGTCAAGTCCCGCACCAGTCAACACCTTGCCCTCGCCGGTGCATCAAGTTTCAACCCAACAGCGAAACGGTTTTATAAAAACGTTATTAAGAATTTCCATTGACGGAGTCTTTTGCCGTTCTGCTTTATTCGCAAAACATACAGTCAATTCACTTTACAGCGTATCCTGTGAAGCCCTTTGAGACGTCCCGAAGACACGATACAGCGCTGTATCAAATGCAAGGATTATCATCATTATATTATTATTATTATCATTCCCAGTTGATGTCTCCGAAGGCATCTGGAACAAATCAATCCTGCTTTTAGCGTAAGTGTCTAGTGAGGTTCATTACTCACCAGAAGTTGTACTTACACCGCACATGTCGTCGCTGGGTTGTGATTTCTTGATTGCTTGTTTCACCTTGACACGTGTCTTGGTGATTTTGTTTGGCCTTCCGAGATGCGTTGATTCTTTCCTCGTCGTGGATCGCTACAGGAAGGAGAAGGAGGAGGAGGATCTTGTGTCAGTTTGGGATGAAAGATTGATTTCAGCTTCCCATTTGATCACACAAAAGAAAGAGAGAAAACAGTACTTTTTTTCTCTCTTTCCCTTCCAATACCCGCTGCCTTTGTTAAGGGCTCCGAGACACGATTCTGGGTGAAGGACTCTGTATAGGTAGCAGTTGTCTTTTCTTACCGCTGGTTCTCTTCTTTCCTTTTCAAAGCAATGGTTCCTCTCTGTTTCGAAGACAGTTATAATAATAATAATAATAATAATTGGTCGACCCTCTGGTTTTTTGGCCATTTAATAAATCTAATGCAAGACCAAAGGCAGCATGTGGTTCAATCCAACGCACCCAGAGAGTGCATTCATTCCATCGTCACGGGCATCTCCTGCGATTCATACCTTTGTCTTAGAATAAAGAAAATATTCGAGGATCCTTCATGAAAATGAGCCCATTTGTTGCTTTATCGAGGGGTGGGGGGGGGGGGGGGCGGAGCAAATAAGAGCACGAACAGAAAGATCGATAAATCAATGCACCTCGTAAGGCACTCGGGTGGTCTACGGATTGATTGGATCCGTTCCCCATTGGAATACACCAAACAGGTGATCAATATTGATAACAATCCTTGCTTTTGATTCAGCTCATTATCACATCGTCGAGACGGCTCGAAGCGCTTCACAACGTGGCAGCTGATTTGCTCACTGCAGTGTCCCACGAACAGATGGTATTTGGTGCATCCTGAAGACCTTCCTCTTCGACCGTGCATATGGTCACCCTCCTACTCCAACCCTCCCTGCCCTCCAGATCCCTGACTGTCCAGCGTCTTGGGCCATCCTCCTGACGTGAAGGGTCCCGTCTGACTGTTCGGGTGGACGTTAAAGATCGAATGGCGCTGTTCGAAAAGAGAAGGGAGTTTCTCTCTCCCCCGGTGTCCTGGTCAACAAATCCCCCCAAATAAATTTGGTCGGTCGTTCTGCGCCTGCTTGCGAGACGTTACAAATTGTCAGCCCTCAAAAATACACCGTCAAAACCACTTGATAGCGTATCCCGTGAAGCGCTTTGAGCGCTGAAAAATGAGCTGAACATCTTCAGGATAGGAACAGACAGAGGAGAGAAAATAACGAAGGATCGATCCATGTGTGACCCCTCAGTCATACACTCCCAGTCTAACTTGATTGGTGGATCCCTATCCGGGGAAGGGGGGGGGGTAATAATTCTTTCCCCAAATTTTTTATAATAATCGCAATTCAATCACTCAATCAACGACTATTTGGGCTGCGTTTTGCCCACAAAAGACACAGTCACTCCACATTAAAGTATATCCTATGGAGCACTTTGAGCCACACCATTGGGGGTCAGACATTCAGCATCTCTGCCCCCCCAGATTCTGAAACTCTATCCCACAATCCCTCCGCCTCACCGCCCCCCCCCCCCCCACCTCTCGTGCCTCCTTCAAGTCCCTTCTAAAGACCTTCCTCTTCGAACGTGCCTTCAGCCACCCTCCCACCCCCACACACCACCCCCAGCCCCCACACCCTAACCCTGCCCTCCATCCCTCCTGACTCCCCCAAACTCCCAGCTCGGGTCCGAAAAAAAAAACCCTGACCACCCGGCCAGCCCCCACCCCCTGCACCCCGGGACGTCTTTCCGACGCGAAGGGCACCGCGTGCGGAAGCGTCGTCTGTGGTCGCCGTGGCCGTCGAGACAGACGCCTCGAAGCAAGAACCGTCAGCACTTTAAAAAGCCGGGCAAAGAGTGGAGGGTGTGTGGGGGGGGGGGTGGAATGAACGGGATGGATGATAACGTGAGCGGAAGGGGAAGAGGTAGGAACGGCGGCGGCGCGTGTATAATATGCGCGTGTTATTTCACAGGGTTTTCACACGCGCCCCCCCAAAAAAAAACACCACCACCAACACCTTCCCCACCACCACCACCACCACCACCCACTTGTTCCCCGTGTTTCGAACCGCGACCCATTGCTGTCGGAAGTCAAAGATGTAGCATCTTATTAGCATCTGATTAGGGATGGCAATTAGCATGTGGAGGTGGAGCAGAGCTGGTGGGCTCCATCTCTGTGTGTGTGTGTGTGAGAGAGTGAGTGAGTGAGTGAGTTCTCTCTCTCTCTGTGCCCATCTCTCTCTCTCTCTCTCTCTTTCTGCCCATCTCTCTCTCTCTCTCTCTCTCTGGTGTGTGTGTGTGTCTGTGTGTGAGTGTGAGAGGGAGAGAGAGAGTGAGTGGAGAGACTCTCTGTGTGTGTCTGTGTGGCTCAACATGGCGTTTGGCTCTGTGGTTTGGCATCTCCTGACTCTCACCATTTGGGGACTTTTTCTGGCTAAAGGTAAGGGGGTGAAGATGGGGTGGGGGTGGGTGTGGGGTCTGGGGGGGGGTTGCAATGTATTGCAATGTGGAAAGAGGTGACAGACCCCCCCCACAGGGGGGTGGACACAGTCACAGTATTTGCTTCATTCTCTCCCTCTCTCTTTTCCCCCCACAGTCTCTCTCTCTCTCTCCTTTTCTTCTCCTCCTCTCCCTTGGGGGCTTTTTTTCTGGTTAAAGGTGGGGGTGTGGGGGGGGAGGGTTTGTGGGTGTGGGGGGGGGGGGGTGCACTGTGATGCTCAGGGCTAAGCAATTGGGGGAAATGGGGGGAAAGAGAAGAGACACTTATTATTTGCTTCATTCACTCTCTTGTCTGTCTCTCTCCTTTTTCTTTTCCTCCCTAAAAAGAAGGCTATTTTTATGGGGGGGGAGAGGGTAGATTGACTCCCCCTCACCCCTCCCTCCCTCTTACCCCCCACCCCAACCCCCAGCCCCTTTTTCAAAACCCCCAAATTTTATTTTTTTCACCCAAAAAACATCTGCCCTCCAACTGTGTTGTGTTTTATTTTCCACAGACAAAACTTAAAACATATTGTGTGGTTTGGGAATGGGATTGAGGAGAGATTTGATTCTCAATAGAAGGGGGAACTTATTTTTTTTTACCCCCCCCCCCCCACTCATAGGCAAGAGTTGCCAGCAATATTTTTTTACCAAAATGTGCTTTTTTTGCCCCCTTTTCTCCCCCCATCCTTTGCCCAATTTTTTTGAGGGAAGGAAAGGAAACTGATAAGCTTTTTTTTTATCTCCCCCCCACACCCCTCCCACACCCCCCCCCCCCTCCTCAGCCTTCTATTTTATTTTGAATTGTTCATGTCTTTTCTAAAATATAATTTTTTTTCATCTTGTTTTTTTTGTGTGTGTGGGGGGAAAAAAAAAGCCTTTTATTGTTGGGTTCAGTGCATTTTTGTGGTGAGGGAGGAAAAAAGGGGGGAGTGGGGGTGGGTGGGGGGGGGGGGTGGTAGAGGGAGGGAAAGAAAGAGAGAGGGATGTGGGGAGAGAGGTAGAAACTGAGATTTAAAAATGTTATAACGTGTGGGAAAAGTTATATGTTGGAAATGTAATGTTTGCTGGTGTGTGGGTATGAGGGAAAAAGATTATTTGGATGATTTAAGTGTATTTCTTGCCCCCCCCCCAACTGCCCCATACCCCCATCTCTCTCTTTCAACCCCTTTTCCTTCCCCAAATAGCCCTGATTGATTTTATTGTACAGTGGGTGTTATTCTCTCTAAATGTGTGTGTGTTTCATGCAGTTAAGTAGCACTGGTTAGAATGAAGAGGGCGATATTAGCTCAGCAATCTCTCCCTCTCACACACACACACACAGGGATCCCCAAATAAACCCTTTCCTGGTCTTTCTTTTTCTTTTTTGTTGTTGTATTTTTCTAAAACACATACACCAAGCAGTGCATTAAAACTACCTTCACAGGAGAATGGGTCTGTCTGTCTCTCTCTGTGTGTGTGTGTGTGTGTGTATCTTGTCTCTCTGGCTGTATGTATTTAACACCCTTGATCTCTGGTTATGATGATGTGATCTGATAGGAATTCTTCCCTGTTTTTGCCCCCCACCCCACTCCTTGCCCCCCCACCCCCTCCGCTCAAGGCCCTTCCGCTTCGACCCCGTCCGCGCCTTCGATCATCTTTTTTCCCGCAAAACATACAGTCAATTCACTTTACAGTGTGTCCTGTGAAGCGCTTTGAGACGTCTCGAAGACGTGATCAGGCTCTGTATCAAGTGCCAGGATTATTATTATTATTATTGTCTTCCCTCTAATATCACCTCACTCTCCCCTGCCCTCCACCCACCACCCCCCCCCCTCTCGTTGTCCAGCAGCTCGCAATTCCTTCCTGCCGCGAAAGGCGCGATATAAATGCAATTTGTTTATGTTTCTATTTATCTCTCTCTCTCTCTCCTCTCGATGCGATCGTTGACTTAAAGGCACATCTCGCAAGCGCGGGTAGAAATAAAATCGTTCAGGGAATGATTTCCTCTCCTCTACCCCTCCCGCCCCCCCCCTCTCTCTCTCTCTCTCTCTCTCTCCGACTCGCTCGCTTTCTGTTGTGCTTTTATCGAAACAGATCACTTCTGTTTCGCTTCGTATTACTGGGGTAGTGAAAGAGGGCGCTTTCTCGCTCGCTCACTCGCGCTCTCTCTCTCTTCCCCCCCCCCCCAAACCCTCCCATCCCCCCCCCCCAAACCCTCCCATCCCCCTCCTTCCCCTCCCATTCGTTCACAATCTTTTGTTTTAGAGATCAAATGAATGAGTGTGATTTCTCTTTCTCGCTCGCTCGCTCATTCTCCTTTTTTTAAACCCTTTGTCAACATCCAGTAACCAGCCCTGTCTCGTCCCCTCCCTCCCTCCCTCCCCTTTTCCCCTCCCTCTCTCTCCCCTTTTCCCCTCCCCCTCGTTCTCCCTTCTTCTCTCAGTCGTTATGTAAATTCCACCCCCTTCCAGCCCAATTCCTAGCTCTGGAGCAGCACAGCTTCATTGCTGTCAAAGAGAGTTAAATCACATTGTAACCAGAGGCTCCATTCAGGATATTAAAAAAGAGGGACAGTTTTTCAAACCGTCATTAGCCACCTCTCTCCTCCCTTCCCTTTTCCCTCCTTCCCTCTCTCCTTTCCCCATCACCCCTTTCCCTCGCTCTCGCTCTCTCTCTCTCTCTCTCATTTTCCTTCCTCCCTCTCTCGCTTCCTTCCCCCTCTCTCCTTTCACTCCCTCTCCTTCCACGCCTCTCTCTCCTTTTCCTCCCTCTCCCTCTCCTTTTCCCCCTCTCTCTCCTTCCCTCCATCCCTCCCCCCCCTCTCTCTCTCTCTCTCTCCGCTAAAAGCTTTACATTCTCCTAAAAAATAAACTTCGCTTGGTTCCCCCTTCACGTTTATTTGAGGCAGTGTTACACCCCCTGTCTGTTAGCACAATTCCTTGCGAGGCGCCTGTTCATTCACAAGCGTTTTGATGTTAACACGGTGTTCGCACGATTTCGAAGACTTGCACCCGCTTGTAGTAGTAATAATAATAATTACTATTGTTGTGATAAATCTTGAAAAACGCTGCCTTCTGGTCGGACCTGGTTCTGATCTCGAAAACCCGCTTCCAAGAGACAAGTGTGTGTTCAGAGGCAAATTGAATTGCTGTCGGCGATGTTGAGGTGGTGAAATCTGCTTTTGTGCGTTTCCCGAGGCCGTTTGGGATTTCCTCCCACTCCCCCCGTGGTTGGTTGTGGTGGGGGGGGGGAAGGTGGGTGGGTGAGTGTGGACCACTTAATCCACATTACACACTGCACATGTACAGCAATTCCCTTTATTCCATGTTGGAATCACTGTGTGTGTGTGTTTCTCTCTCTCTGTCCCATTCATTGCTTTTAGTTGTTGCGGGAGAGAGAGGGGGGCGGGGGGGGGGGGGAGAGAGGAGCAGGGGATGGGGGGAAGGGAGAGAGAGAGAGAGAGAGAGAGGGGGGCAAGGGGGAGGGAGGGAATGCGCGTGTGTGTGTGTGTGTGTTCCCAGCAATGCATCTCCTCTTCCCCTCTTGAAGCACTCCTTAAGGATTTGCGTAGATATCCTAAGAAAACAGGAGCTCTGCTTTGCCTCGGCTGTTGTCTGGCAAAGTTGTAATTGGGTGGGGGGGAGATGGGGAAGGGGGGAACAGAGAGAGAGAGAGAGAGAGAGGCGCGGGAGAGAGAGAGAGAGAGAGATAAGGTGTCATGATTAGTGATGCCTTTAGTTGTGATCTTTGCTGCTCACACACACACACACACACACACAGAGCTCTGTTCCCCATACAATTGCCTGGTTTCCTGATGCTAATTCCTGGAACGAACAGGAATTTTTTTTCAATACAATGCCATTCTTTTCACGGCAAGAATGTCGGAGTTCACTTTAACCCCCCACCCCCACCGCTTTGCACCCCCACCTCGGCTTTATCTATCGCAGCCCCACTTTTCGCTCCACACATGGGTTGTATTTCGAATGTAATGAATGGCTCCTTTTTTCCCGGTTTCTGCGGCGATTGTTTTTTTTTTAACGAAACACAGAGAGAGAGGGGGAGAGAGAAAAAAAAATCGTGCATTTTTTTTCGCGGGAGCGCCCGGCGTTATCGAAGGTCTGTGATATTTGAGGAGACGAGGAAGGGGGGGGGGAGACGTGTGGTGAGCTCCACTCCTTGGCCGAGGCAGTTCTTAAACGATGAAAGTCCGAGGGAAGGGGTGTAATTTCTCCATTGATTCCACAATTACAGAATCAAACCCAAGCCTCGAGTTAACTCAGCACAATGTCCGTCGCTGCTGTTTTTCCGCTTCAAAACACGAAACGGCAGCGACGAGGGTTTGTTGTGTTGAGAGCTGTGTTTACCAGATGTGCTTCTGCCGATTTGGGTTTCGTTCGCGCCTGACACACGTGGAGACCCCTTCGCCGAGTTTAAGAGTATTTCCAAACCAAACCAGGGTTCCGCGCGTCCCACCTACACATGGATATTATATAAACGTAGATTTGGGGGCGTTCATTAAAATTGCTGGGATCTTAGCTTCATCCTTTCGGCTTCTGTCTGCTTTCATCTTCTGGTGGAAGTTCATTTTGAAAAGTTTGGTTGAATTCAAAAGCGAGGTTTGAAGTTTAAATTAAAAATCATTTCCCGACGTGTTAATGCCGGCGCTGCATACTTCCTGCCCCTTTTTTGTTAAAAGCCCTTTTTTTATGGATATTTTACAGCAGCATAAGTGTGCATGAAGTGCTGCAATTGTATTTCCTTCCAATAAGGTTTCTTTTTCACGTTGAGGGAGCAATTCTCAATTTATTGCAGGGATGTAATCGCCACAGTGCAGTTCGAAATTGCCTGGAGATTGTGGTTTGGTGGGTTTCTGAGTGTCTCGAATTAGTTCATTGCGAAAAAAAATGCGTGTCGGTTCATGTGATCTTGGGTTTGGTTGTTTGACCAGTCGCAAAGTTGTTGCACAAGAATTTCTGGATG